TCAAGTGGACCTCTATGACAGATTTCTAACTTCCTGTAGGTCACTCTCCACAAAGCGGTGGTGGTTACCCTTTGCAACACACAGATGCTTAAAAACCTATAATTCCCCATTGCACTTACAATAAAGCCTAAACTTGGCCCAGAGCCCCAGGCAACCTGGTGTGACTCTCCAGCCCTCATCTTTTACATTTGACCTCTTGTGTCTCCCATGACATCCAAAGCTGTTCCTGCCTCACACCTGGTGCTCCCTGTGCTGGTTCTGCCAGTTCTTATGGGTGCCTACTTAGCTATGACCTCAAATGTCGGCTCCTCACAGACAAGCCTATCTAAACCAGCTCCCTTCCCCACTTACATGCCGTTCTTTTGATGTCTTTCATAGAACTGGGCTCGATTTCTATGATTATGGCAATTCACTGTAACCTCAGCATTGAACTCAACGTATAACTAGCATCTTACACAAAACAGGTCTTTAATGAATAATAAATGTGTTGAAGTGGAAAAAAAAAAAAAGAACTAGGCTCGGTTTACAATGATGTTGCATAACCTTAGCTGTCTGATTCACTGGCGTATTCTCAGCATAGGAAGTGGCATATAATTGGTGCTCATTAAATATTTATTGAAGGAAGGGACGAATGAATGAGGAAATAAGACAAAACTATCAAAACACTGGCTGGGTGTAGGCTTTGGATATTAGAAAAAATACAAAACTAGGTAGATACAAATGTAGATATACAGACATACACATAGATCAATAGGTTTTTAATAGAAACACTGAAATTGAAGTTAAAATGATATATTCATAAAGATCTGATTGTCATTACATACCTAATATACTACTTCCATGTAACCCTTGAGTTTTTATAGCTCAATATTTCACTTAAAAAAAGCTCTGACTCATTTTCCCTATTTGGAAAAGTAGGACCTGTGTGCCTTAAAGGATTTTTGTATTAAATAAGGTAATCCATGTATAGAACCTCGCATAGTGCCAGACTCATAGGAAGAGCAAATAAAAGAGAAAAGGGGGAACACAGGCCTATTTAATTCCTTGTCAGAAATAAACTGAATACTATATCTTTCCCCATTCGTATTCTAATTAATTGCTAATTTCATTTTTCTAGAAAAACGTTTACTGAAAAAGACAATTGTTTTGGTCCATTCATTATATGTAAAAAGCTAGACCAGACTGTTTGTGTTATCTAAAGGCATTTTCCATCAAATCTCTAAACCCTCACATTTGTAGGCCTAAAGTCTGCCCAGTAAGCACAGAAGTCCTGACTCTGACTCTGCTCTGTGCAATGGCCTCCCACAGATTGAAGGAACCAGGAACAGACAGCATACAGAACACACAAAAAATAAAAATGATCTGACATCTCAAACTGAGGCAATCACAGGGTGGTCCTCCAACAGCCAGTGTTTGTCCGATGGGCAGACACTGCTGTCCACAGCTGAAGAAGGCTCTCGGCACGCTTCTTGTGTGGAGGCTGGTAACCCGAGCACAGGTGGACGACTGGAAGAGGAGTGTGCACACATCACCATGTACGCGTAAACGTAACTCCAAACATGTGCATACATTACCAGGTATGCATAAATGTGCTCCAAACAGCCAACAAGCTAAAGAAGGAATCCAGCAACAGGAAGTTCAGAGAAAGGATGCAGGTCAGGCCAAAGCAACCTGGACAGATCCAGCAGAAGGAATTACACGCCATGAAAGAGAAAACTCTGATGTATGGAACTGGAAAATTTTGAAACTAATCAATCACAATTCTGGGTAAAAAGTAAGGATATTGGTGGCTGGGAAAGAAGAATCTCTTACTCTCTACTACCTCTATTCATAAAATAAAGGATATTTTAATGTCAAAGTAATAGAATTGATAAAAATGAATTCTCTGAATCAGCAAAATTGATAAACCTTTAGCTAAACTGTCCAAAATGTTATTTTAAATGTAGAGAAGACTCAAATTACTAAAATTAAGAATGAAAGATGGGACATTACTACTTATCTCACAAGAAAAAAAAGCATTACAAGAAAATACTATGAACAATGGTATGCCAACAAATTAGGTAACTTAGAAAAAATTCCTAGGAAGACATAAACACTGAAACTGATTTAAGAAGAAATAGAGAATAGACCTACAGCAGCTAAAGAGATTGAATCTGTAATTTTAAAACTTTCCACAAGTAAAGCCTGGGCCCAGATGCTTCATGGTGAATTCTACTGTGCATTTACAGAAGGTGAGGAGTTTCAGCCCCATGTGGATGGGGGAGCTCTCTACCAGGCTCCACTCTTCTAACCCTCCCTCAATTCCTCCACCCAGCAAGAGGAGATACTAGGTCAGCTAGCGAGACACTGCCTAGCCTCTGACCCCACTAGTGAGCAAGATCACTGTGCATTAAAATGTGGTGATCTGGGATGACCACCTTTCACCTGCTCATTTGAGGTTTGTAATACTTTCTTGTCTTTGGTCTCTACTCCATGCCTGGTGGTCAACTCTGAGTCGGCTGCGGATAGACAAAGGTCCCTTACTTACTTAAGTCTGAAGCCTATATCTGATCTACCTCATTTTATGAGAGTTTTCTGAATTTAGGTTTCTGATCAGCACAGCTTATAATACAAATGTGCTGCTTTTCCTTCCCATTATTCTCTATGATTGTATCCTGGGACCTCACTAGGAGGTGAGGCTGCGGCTAAAGCAAAAGTTTGGATATTTTTGTCCTTTTTTTTTTTTGCTTAAAACCATCTAATGGCACCCCAGTTCCACAACAAGATACAAAAGCCATCTGTTCTGTATGTGTGAGGGGCAGAGGGGACTCTAGTTTACAGCATGCAATCTACGGTAACTACACCAGCCACCAGTTAGAAGGGGCACCTGCAACAAATTTTAACAGCGCTCTACCATTACCTACCACCTCGCTTCTTTGCTTCATGATTTCTCTTCCCAACACGTGTGATTTTTTTTTCTCTTTTTATTTACTTGTATACCTTAAGTCTAGAAGCCAAACCTGATGAAATCCTTCTAACCTTTGCTTTGCACACAGCACACAGACCATAGGATTCACCAGGAGCCACCGACCTCCTACATGACTCTACCCACACAGGAGCCTCGTGAGCTTTGGCTATTTTTAACTTTGCCATAAGTTCAAAAACAATATACATCAGTTAGGAAAAAAGTAAAAACTTACTGTTATTGGTACATCTTTTGCTCCTGAATTTAATAAATGAAGATTTAAAACTTTTGGTAGATCTGTTAAAATTGAAAAAAGAAATATTCCTTAAAAATTGTGTTTTATAGCAAGTTAGAATCTTTAGGTTATTAGATATCAGATCAAATCTGTTCTAGAATGTGAAATACAATGACAATCACATCAATAAAAAGGGACAGTAGGTAGGAGTCGCCTGACTCGTAAGGATACTGTATTATAAGAACTGCTCCACCCCGCAAACACCCAGATCAAAACAAAACACTTTTTTAGTGAAACTGTCATCATTACTAAGCTTTTAGTTTTCCAGAAAATCACAAGGAAGCAAATTGATAATGCAAAATGTGAAATCATCATATTAAAACCAAATCTAATTTTCAAAAATGGGCCTTTAATCCCATAGGACCAAATTTTAATTACGAATGGCACACAGACACCCCAAATACAAGTTCAGCTGACCCTTGAGCTATGCATGATTAGAGGCGTTGACCCCCCACACAGCTGAAAATCCACGTGTAACTTCTGACTCTCCCCAGAACCTAACTACCCTCCCTCTATGGGAATCAGCTCCAGGACCTGATAGATGCCAAAAGCCCTGGAGGCTCAGGTCCCTGAAATAAATGGCATAGAACAGTGTGTGCAGTCAGCCGCCTGCACCTAGACTCCTAGCCTAGACATGAAAAAATTGTTTTTGATCCATAGCTGGTTGAATCTGTGGATGTGAAACCTGGATATGAATGGCTGAAGGCAAAGTTACTGATAAAATCCATGCAAAAGTGAAGGGGACCTGCGCAGCTCAAACCTATGCTGTTCAATAGCCCACTGTACTCTTTCTTCTTAATTATTCCTTAACTTGATTGTTTTCAATTTTAGAATTTGAATTCTTTCTCTGACCACCTGGGACAAGATTTTAACATGATTTCATTATAATGCAACCGAATAATCTATATCCAAATAAAAATCCAGAAGTAGGTGAGGAGCTGGACTGTGAAACGGAATGACTTTCCTCCTTGGTCCTCGGTTGGGCAGACTTTACCTCTGTCACCTGGGCCTGGTTTTCCAGGTAAGCGGTGGTGTCCCTCAGAGGATAGGGGAGAAGCTGCAAGGGCTCCGAGTCCCCAAAGCAGGTTTCTACAAGGCCATGTGACCCACCAGAAAGAACTTTCAAAGCTGCCTTACAGGGAGTAAGTGTAGAAACATTTAGCACTGAACAGGGTTTTTTTTTAAAGACTCGTAAAGACGTTGTCTCTTTTTTTACCTTGTGTTCGCAGTGTACCAAAATCTAACATTTCTGTTGAGGAATAAATTCCAGGAGCTTGGAAAAAAGAAAAAGAAACAATTATATTTTACTTTGCCTGAGTAAGACGTATTGAAAGCAAAACACACTTGCAATGCCTCCAGCTTTCCACTAACCTGTTGTAACTTCAACCTCAACAGGAAGAATGATGAACTCTGTGCTGTCGGAGGCATTAGTCTTGATTCGTATGAAGGCTGTGTGGTTATCTGCTTCTCGGGATGAAAAGCTGGCCCTCATCACGCCCTTGGTTTCATAGGGAGGGATTTCCTGACAAGTTAACAGACCATAATGTAGCATGGCTCTGGTAATCATACAAAACCACCATTTTATTAAATAAGAGGACACTGACTAAATGATGCACCAGTATTTTATATACTGACTAAGAAAAAAGTACATTGCCAATTAAACATAGTCACTGACTGTAACACACATTCTAATTTTTGAGGATGTTAACAGGTGAAAAAAAACGTGCACTGTCAGTTGCGAAATCATTAAAAGATATAACTAATCTATAAAATCAGTGGCTCTTTAATACACTGGTGGTGCCCAGGCATATAACTCAGTCCTGAAATGCTCTAACCTGTAGAGATATTGCCATCAGAGGGAATCCACAGGAGTTTCTTTGAATGGTGACCGAGAGAGCTGAGACTCTGCTTCCCAACCTAAGGTTTCCTAAACCTCAACAAAACCAAGCTTCCCTAGCAAATCTGCAGTTTACCAACTGGTCAGGAGGTCTCCAGGCATGGAAGATGGCATCAACTTTAAAGTGAAACCAGAGAACACTCACACATACACTAGAAGAAAGACTCATTAAAAAAAATTTTTTTGTGGTATAATTCTTTTCCTGATTTTAGAACAATCCAAACTCCCCGAGAGGACCAGAATTTCTCTGCACGCACCTTTTGGCATAGTTTAGAATCTCCCCATGTTTTAGATTTTATTGTTCTTCACTTACCTCTACTCCCAACATTTTAGTTCCAAAGTAGAAAAGAAGTGATCAGAACCCTCCTGGGGCCACTGGAGAGGGACCTTCCATTCGCCCAGCTCGCCCATTTCTAGGGAGCTGACTTGGCCTCTGGGTTTTCTCATGCACTGAAATGTGCTGGGGGTGAAGTCAAAGCCAACTGAATTTTTCCTCACTTCAGCTTTACAGGAATAAGAATCACTGTATTTTCTCTTGTAGCCACTGGGATTATTAAAACATTATGCCATCTCGGCTACCATTCGTCGTAGTTCTTAACTAATCAAAAAAACTGAATTGCCCTATGTTTGTTTAGTAGATATCAATTATATTTCATAGTAAATTCTTAGTTCTTCTATCCAGAATTGTAATACAAATTTAACAGTTTACAGTAAATTCTCTGAAACACTGTTTTATACACTATTTCTCCCAAAAGCTTTTTGCATAATAACATAATTTCAAGGAAAAATATTTTTGTGAAAGAATATTAATGGACCATCACTATATATTTCTACTTGCTAGTGGATTTCTATATCTTAGCAGTTAGCCAATCACTGACAAATTTGTTTCTCGATGCTTAAGTCAATACCCTATAAAAATGTCCCCTGCATGTCCCTTCCCTGGTTGAGACTGGTCAGAAGACAGAACTGAGAGGCTGTGCGTGTTTAACAGAGTGACCCACCAAGAAATGTCCATCCTCAGAGCTTACAGTGCTGCAGTGTGCCTTCTGTAACGGCTGAGCAGCAACATGAGTGACACTGGTATAAGAAATATGTTTGCTATGTCTTTCTCCTCTGATTAAAGTGTGGTAGACATCATTACACACACACACACACACACCCTCTTCTACGGCAGGAACCGTTACAAATAAGGTAGTTGCTATATATTCCTTAATTTGGTTAATATTTGCTAGTATTCTCTAAGAAAAAGTAGTTCATTATGCACTGACAAAAATTATTATTAAATATTCAACAATATTAAAGGAGGATATAGATCACCTAAGGATTTAAAATTTTCTAAGTCATCACAAGGGCCTGACTATGTTCACTCTGCAAAAATGATCTCCTCTGCCAACAATAAGTCTGAACATTCAATTCTCTATCTTCAAAAATAGAATAAATCCTTACCACAGGTTGGCTGGTTGGTTTGTTTGCTTTTTAAATCTTAGTGTAAAACACATTATAAATGATTAGATTCATAAACAACTTTACCAATATAATTCTGAAAGAGTGGTTGGACTCTTCCTTTCCACACAGTGCTATAAAGCTCCCACCAATTTTGTTCACTGATCTTTCTAAAAATTAGTACTTATCCTACATATAAAACCAAGCAACAGACAATCAAGACAAGCAAAATACTCAAAGACACAGATAACAGTTTAGTGGTTACCAGAGGGCAAGTGGGGAGGAGGGAAGTGGGAGGTAGAAAAGGGTAAAGGGGGTTAAATACATGGTGATGGAAGGAGATTTGACTTTGGGTGCTGAATACACAATGCAATACATAGATGACGTGTTATAGAAGTGTACACTTGAAACCTACCTAATTTTATTAACCAAAGTCACCCAATAAATTTAATTGAAAAAAATTACTACTTAAACTTTTACTCTCTCCTTCAATTTTCAAGTATATTTGATATAAATTTAATATTAAGTCAGCCAGATTTCTTCAGGTGATAAAGAGTTAAGTATTTTCTGAAGTATTTAAGAAAAATAATTGGTTTCATGTGACATGTGAGAGAGAAATGTGTTACCACTCACCCACAGTTTTCTGGTACCTCCTTGTTGACCTGTTGGAAGTTCTAGGTGAAGATCTCCTCCACTAGAGTACATTTCTACCACCTGTGACAAAGGAGCACTTGATGGTTAAATTCAAAATCATATTCTCAATGCACGTAATTTGCTGTTGTAAGAAGTAAGTCTGACACCCTAATTGTTTACCAGGAACAATTTAAAAATATTTACAGACATAAATGTGGGATAAATATCATGTCACATCACTAGTCAGTGCCCCATATGTGCAAGCAACGGTGGTATTTTTAATGAAAATAAGGTAACTCTGAAATATTAAACTCAAAAACAGTGTAGCTGTCTCTGAGACTGGATTTCAGAAAATCCATCCATAGGATGCTTATACCACCTGATGGAAATTACCAAATTTAGAAATACAAATTTTGTTATTTCTTATAGTAACTCAAGTTCTGCTTTACTCATTTATAACAAGATCTAACAGCAGCTCTAATAACTACTATAATCGTGAACCAGTGAAGAGCACGTTTTTCTGAGACATATGCCAACAATTTTAACGCAATATGAAAATATCTGGTTAGATTCTATAGGTGGCAAAATCACAACAACTGTTAATACCTCTGTGGCTTATACCTACACTCATTATTTTTTAAAACACTTTAATAAGGTATAACTGATGTACAATCAACTGTACATATTTAAAGTGTGCAACTTGACGAACTCTGACATACATATGCTGGCATAAAGCTACCACTGTAATTAATACTAAATATTCCCACTACCTCCCCTAGTTTCCTCAAGCCCTCTGCAATCCACCTGTCCCTCTCTGCTCCCTCTCATGCCCAGGTTAACTGCTGAGTTGCTCTTGGACACTCCAGATTTGTTGGTATCTTCTAGAGTTTTAGGTAAAACTCTAGAAGTTGCACAGTCTGTACTCTTGTCTATCTGTTTTTATTCAGTGTAATTATTTTGAGATCCACCACATTGTTGTATATATTAATAGTTCATTCCTTTTCAATTTAATGGATGTGCCACAATTTTTAATCCATTTGCCTAGTGGTGGACATCTGGGTCATTTCCAGCTTTTGGTCATTACAGATAAAGCTGTTAAGAACAGTGCACTGTATGTCTCTGTGTGGATGAACATCTGCTTTCCTTTCTCTTAGGTAAAGGCCTGGGGACAGAAAGGGTCACGTGGCTGAAGACCTTCCTTTAAAGGCAGGTAACTCTATTTCTTAATAAGAAATGATATACTAAATTATATGCAAATCTGGGGTGAAATTAATAAGAGAACGGGCTTTGGGAAACCTTCGCTTATTTCATCACAAAAGTCTTCCAGGGGTATGTAAAAGAAGGACAAAGCAGGAAAAACCGCAGTACGTTAGTATGAGCTTAAAGGTTTCTGGTGTGTGGTGTTAAGGAAAAGCACTGAGTAGAGGTGGACGAGTTAAGGTTTTCTGAGTATTATTACCTGCCATCCAATTTCTTACGGTATTCCTTTAAGTACCAATTGTACTAACAGCAACAGCACCTTACTTAACCCATAGGGTAACTATGGAACTTTTTCTGAAAAGCCGGAAAATATTATTTCATTTAATCTTCCAAGGTATTAGGGAAACAAGCATAACAATATTTGGAAACAGAAAACTGAAAAATAGACTACTGATGATAGGAAAACAAATGAGGAAATAGGGACAGAAAAAGGCTAAGTTATAAAATCAAAGGAAGGATTACATTAAAACTAGGTACATGACACATTCCTGATTTTTAGCCCAGTGCTATTTATCCTAATTCAATAAAGTTTAGGAAAAACAGGAACCCAAGAATATACAGATTAAAAAAAATTCCCACAAAGAATGTTAATTTTTGTGTGCCTACATAAACACACAGAAAAAGGTCTGTCATGACACACACTGAGATACTACATGAGTAGTATCCATGAGGAAGGGTTAGGCACTGGAGCTGTGCTAATACAGCAGTCACCAGCTACATGTAGTTATTTCAGTTTCAATTAATTGAAATAAAATTAAATGGTCAATTCCTCAGCCAACCTAGCCGCAAATTCAAGTTGCTCAATAGCCATGGGTGGCTAGTGGCTACTGTACTGGACAAAGCAGGTACAGAACTTTTTATTTAATCACCACAGCAAGTTCTACTGGATGGTGCTGGATTGGAAGGTAGGAAGTTCAAGGGGACTTCTGCTTCACAGTTGTTTGAATTCTTAACACTTTTCCCAAGGAGAACGCATTTGTGTGTTTGTGCTGTATAATGAACAAATCAAATGCAATTTCTTGCTTTATAGTATTTTCTTACATTTAAGGACAAGACTAATGATAGTACAATGTATTATAGGACTATCAGGTTAAGAGTGCCTTCCATACTTCCAATTATTAAATATGTCCTGGGGATGTGAGGGACAACATGGTGACTGTAGTTAATGATGCTATTTTGCATATTGGAAAGTTGCTAAGAGAGAAGATCTTAAAAGTTCGCATCACAAGAAAAAAATTTTAACTGTGTGCAGTGACGGATATTAACCAGACTCACTGTGATGATCATTTTGCCATAGGTATATCAATTTATTATGTTGTATACCTGAAACTCATATAATGTTGTATGTCAATTACACTTCAATAAAAAAAAAAAAATCAATTAGGAAGTTGGATAAAAAGTTTCCCTCAAAAAGAGTGCTTTCCAGATAGCCTGTACTGATTCTAACAAGGCAGCTTTGATTTTCTATTTGCTTGCCTGTGTGCTAGTGAAAAGTCCATTGTGCTAAATCTTCCTGAATTAAAAATATTGTAACTGGAAAAAGACTAGGTAAACAAAAGAAAAAAGTCAGTATTGAATTCAAAGATACAGCTGTTAGCTGAAAGCCTGGTGGCTGAAAGGCCGAGGAGAAAATGCACAGACTGTCAGGCCACGTAAACAATGGTAGGCTGGCCCCCACTTGCTGAGTCTGTGACCCGCACCCTCATCCTTCCAGCAGGAAGCAGCTGGGTCTGTGGTCTGGCCACCACACTGAGAGCACCCCGGGTGGCTCTGTCATTATGTCACTCTCTAGCTCGAGCAGTGTGCCAACTCAGGTGGCAGGGCCTGACAGAATGAAGAGCTTTTCTATATCTTTGGCTGAAAACAGTCAAAAAAAGAAAGTAGCAAGAATTTATGAGGTTTCTGTATAGATCTGTAATAAAAATTAGCCAGAAGAGGGACAGTACACCTGATTCAGTAGCAAAAGGACACAGCTGACAGAGTGATGATGAAGAGGAAACACTTTTCCCTTGTAAAAGCAAGACACAAGAGCATGTCCCTCTTCTGTGATGAAGGTCTCTAACTAGAAAACAATGACAACTCGGGCAGGGTATTTTTATTAGTAGCTATCCTCACCCAATGCCAGCCAGGTGTTGGGGAGAAACCTCTTTTGTGCTACTTTAGCGTATAATTCCTAAGTCAGGGTCTGAAAATCCCTTGTTCTTCCTCAATTTCCCTTTCATTGTTTATGAACATTTCTACCAGGGGTTCTAGGATGACAAAACCTATTTTGGCTGCAAAAGCTCTGTAGCTGACCACAATATACAGGATTTCTCTCTGCCTGTCCTTTTCAAGCTACTGTGAAGTCCTGCAGTGTTAGTCCTAAAGAACTCTGGGGGCCCTGGATGTGGGCAGTATGGACCATTCTGGAAAGCATCCCTTATCTCCTTCCAACACAGACAACACAACTAGAAGCTATAGAAGCAGCAAATGTCATATAGTTGGAAGTCACTGGAGATGTGGGTACGGATTATGAGAAATATCTGAAGAAATGACACCAGCCTCGCCTACTGTGGAAGAGACAAGGAACTAGACAGGAGGGATTTCAAATTTGAGAACGATTACTACTAAAAGATTGGGTAAGATAAGGAGTTGAATTTTTTAGATTAAAAAAATAAGTTTGCTTTTAGTCATAATTCTTTATTATCTTTCCACTGTATTTCAATTTCCAGGCTGCCATCGCCAAAAATTTATTACTATCAGAAATAAGTACAAACTGCTTTTTAAAAAATTTTTATTGAAAAAAAAAAAAATTTATATTGGACCAGAAAGAGCTTACAGGTAAGAAAAGTATAGCTGAAAACTCTTCTTAAACCAAACGCAGAGCTGCTTAAGCTAACTCCAGAGAAGCCATCATAATCGTTTTAAAAATGGTTCCAAAAATTCAATATCTGGACTGCTGTAGTCCTAAATTCAGACCACAGCAAGATGTATTAAAAGAATACGCCACTTCAATACATCTTTACAACCTTATTATTTTAAATAGTCTTAAAAACTATAACAGGCTGAGATTTCATGCTAAGTATTAAATTCCACCAAAATGAAGCCCATTCAAAAATAGCATCACAAACTCACCTGCAAAGGCTCACTGTGAGGATTGTGTATGTTTATTATAGGTGAGAAACTGCTATTCACAGGGACTCTGGCCCCAAGGAATGGCCTCAATCGATAAGGATTTGGAACACCGACACCAAATACCTGTTTCAAAGGAGGAAAAATACATAATTTGAGCCACTTTTATAACTAACATTTTTACAGTTCAAATTGATTGATCTAGGGAAAACTGGTGAGTCTAATTTATATGAAACAAATCTTGACTCCCTTTAAAAAGAGCACATATGTAGTTTCCATATCTGATTTGGCTACATATTTCACTTACTAAATAGAAGTGCACTTGGAACGATTTCTAGAACATGCTGGACAGTAACAGCAGTCCTTCTTGAAGTTGTGGAACAGACAAGAGGAGAAAACAGAGAGTCTAAAGAGCTCCCTGCCCTGACTGGCGGAAGCTCGATCTGGGGCTCAGGCAAGCCCTCAAGCATGAGGCCCAGCCCCGAGTCATCCTGCAGGAAACTGGTTCTGGGGCTCAGACGAGCCCTCCAGCATAAGACACAGCCCCTTGACCCCACCCCATGTCACCTCATTGGGGAAGGCTCTGGGTTGGCTCAGTGGGTGAGCCGGCCATTCCAATGACAAATGTTAAGGCCTATGGTATGCTGGGCTCAAACAGGCACAGGGGTGAACAGTTCAATTGTGAGTACAGCAAATAATGTCTCGCTCTCAAGAAACTTACATCCTACTATGAGGGATAGATTAGATCACAGCAAAAGAAAGGTTTAAAAAATAAGAAGTGTGATATATAGTAACTACTTGAGGGAAGATGGGAATATTCTTTTAGGGTGGTCAGGGTCATCTTCTCTGGGGAGGTGATGCGAGTTGTTGTCACCTAAAAGATGAAAAAAGCCAGCACTGGGAGTGGACTCAGGCAGGGCATGAGGCGGGAAGGGGCTTGGCTTGTTTGAAGAGGTGCAAGGTAAAATGGGACGAGGTTGGGAATCATTACAAGAGTCAGCCTTAAGTCTTCATTGGCCTTGGTCAGAAGTTCACTTTTTGCTCGAAGAACAATGGGAAAACACAAGCATTTACACGAGGAAGCTGCCCAGATCTGATTTAAGCTCAGAGATCACTCTGACTAGAGTGAATGATAGACCATGGTAGGGGCTGGGGAGGCGAGGAAGGCCCGTTAAAGGCCACTATGCAATCCAGTGAGGGGATGGCGGCTCAGAAGACAGCAGTGGCAGTGAAGAGGAAAGAGGAAGGCGGACTCAAGATGTATTTAGGAGGAGGGCTTGTGGAGGTAAAGAAAGACAGCCGGGCCACAGAGGCTCACCTTGAGGACAGAACAAACTGATCACGACCTGCAGGTGGTCCAGACTGGCTACGGCCACCTAGGTCACTGGGGGATGCTTCAAACTCTTATGACAGTCTTTTCATTTACTCAACAAGAGTATGTTAAATGAGTGTCATCTATTGGTGACAAAGTTATTCGTCACTACAGATCTTCAAAAGTTTGCTCTGGCTTACTCAATAACCATGAAAGACTTCTTCACAGTAAATAAGCACAAGATATGCTTAAGATTAAAATGGAATGTTTACTCTGACACCAATTTTCAAAATATAAGAAGTATTCTGGGGACTGGAGAAGAAATGTTCAAAAAAGCACAGAAAGTACAAAGTAAGACATCTAAGCAGCTGAGTTCCATGGGCATCACAGCACAGCGGTTAAGAGGGTGGTCTTTGCAGCTACAAAGACATGAGCTGGAATCCCTGCTCAACAACCTACTAGTGGCGTAATGTGGGCAAATTACCTAACCTGTCTAAGCTTCATCTTCTTCCTCTACAAAAGTGACAACAGTATCACTAACACATGTAAAGTTTGGAGAATAGTGCCATAAGCAATTATTCTTAATAATCTCGATAACCTTGATTTTAAAATCCTGAATCACAAAACAGTAACTTTACTAAACAATGACTTAAAAAAT